TGTGAATGTATACGTCCAGCGCATGGACTGATGTGAATGTGTACGTCCAGCGCATGGACTGATGTGAATGTGTACGTCCAGTGCTGTGTAAATTGTGGGCGCTATTTGAACCCCTATAACAATAGAGAAGGGTTGTACTGTGCGTGTCCATGCATCGATCTATGTACACCTGGTGTGAGCGAGCTCTCAGGAATCCAACCAATTATATGACATACAGACGTAGCCCAGGAAAGTAAACTGTAAGTGTTGGCGATGTCTCTTACCTCCGGCACACAGGCAGGTGAGGATGGTCAGCAGGCAGGCGGTGTGGAGGACAGGCATGCTGCCAGCAGCCATGGGGTTAATCCTATATCCAGAGATCAGCAACAGTCCCCAGTGTGATGAGGAGATCCCAGGATCCACTTCTCATAGTAGACTGGTCATCCTGATCCCCCTCCCCTGGCACAGCCCCATCATGACAACAACAACAAAGACACACACACAACCCCAACTGGGGGACAATGAGAAGTCAGGGAGCCCAGAAGTTCCCAGCACAATGCAGCACTGCCCCAGTCCCTGCTCCCCCCTCCCTGTCCCTGCGAGCAGCAGCAGCCTGATGATGATGATGATCCCGCCTCTGCTCTCCCATAGAAGTGCACACACTGCACTCTGCCCAGCTGATCACTCCCTGACCTCAGCGCTGCACACCGCGCAGGCGCACACCGGCCACTACGCTCCACGGCCCCGCCGCTCATTGGACAGAGCCGTCTGACAGCAGCGACATCTTGTGTCCAGATAGCGAACTGCGGTTCATTCAAGTATTGCGGACAATCAGTGCAGGCCAGCCAAGAAAAGTTCACATGAGATTACATGGCAGGTTGCAAACTTCGGCCTGGTTCACAAATGGATTTTGCGCTTGATGCTTTCTCCAGTGCTTTTTGCAGTCTGTTTTGCATTTTTCTACACTCGTTTTTGAAGCATTTATTACGCTTTTTTACCGTGTGTTGCATTTTGTTCAGCTTTTTTTTTTTTTTTTGAAGTTACAGTGGAATTTTTTTTGTTGCTGGGCGGAATAAAAATGCAAAATGTGGCAAAAAACACAACAAAAATGCACTACTGTGCATTTTAGCAGCTTCTCCATTGAACTTTATAGTAGCAAAAACACTGTTTATCGCTTTTTTAAAAAAGTCCCTGACCCTTTGCAAAAAAATGCAGCAACTCAAAAAAGCATAAATGTGAACATGTTCCATAGGAAACCATGTTAAATGGACTGTAGTGCGTTTCTGCAAAAAGCACAAAAAAATGCATTGGTGTGAATGGAGCCTCATCCCTGATACGGGCTCCGTTCATACCTATGCAGTTTGTTTTTTTGTCCATTTTGCAGTGCTTTTCGCAGTTCGTTTTGCTACATGCATTTTTTACGCATTTTGCATTTTGTTCAGCTCTTTTTTTTTATTTTTCTTTAAGTTAAAGTGGATTTTTTTGTTGCTGGGCAGAATAAAAATGTAAAATGCAAAACATGGCAAAAACGTGGCAGGAACACACTACCATGCATTTCAGTAGCTTCTCCATTGAACTCTTTTGTAGTCAAAATGCTACTTTTTGCTTTTAAAAACTCCCCGACCCTTTCCAAAAATGCAGCAGCCCAACAAAGCATAGATGTGAACATATTCCATAGGAAACCATGCTAAATGGACTGTAGCACGTTTCTGCAAAAAGCACTAAAAATGCATTGGTGTGAGTGGAGCCTCACCCCTGATTCATGCCAATGCATATTTTAGTGCTTTTTGCAAAAATGCACTACAGTCTATTTGGCTTGGTTCACACCTATGCAGTTTGCTTTTGATCCATTTTTGCAGAAAGCATTAAAAATGAAGCAAAAGCAGAGGTGTGAACCAAGCCTTACTTAGTGTTTTTTTATAACTTCTCTTTATTAAGACATATGAGAAGTGAGTGGTTACAAAACATGGTCTATTATTATTATTATTATTTATTATACAGGATTTATATAGCGCCAACAGTTTGCACAGCGCTTTACAAAATGCAGTACTATTGGGCATTCCCAGGCCAGAAGAGTACATAGTAACACAGAGAGATAGCAAAAACTAAAAACTAAAACAGCAGCAACGTCTCCACTCTTGGTAGCTTAAACACAGTTACTTAAAGTAAAATACATCTTTAAAAGCATAGTCCACCTTTGTGACCGTGTTTTTGGGTACAACATGAAACATACAGAACAAAGATGTAACTAGAACCTTCAGGGTTCCCATGCAAGGAACCATGATGAGCCCCTGGCCGAGACCCTTCCCACTGATCCTGGGGCCCTTTATTATGGTCCAGCAGTGGGCCCCCTTCCAGACATCTTGGAGTCCTCCCACGGTGGTGGAACGCCAGGGCCAAGTCACAGGTATGACCCCGGTAGTTCCACCACTGGTGCCAGTAGTTTTTTATTTTTATTTCATTTTTTTACTATTTTATTTACAATTTTTTTAAAAAAAAAAAATTTTTAAATTTTTGTTAGACCCCAGTTGAGAGGCTTTGGTGAAATGTCAGGAGTCTAAACAGACCTCTGATGTTTCACCTTTGAGAAACAGAAAGGAGATTGAGGACAACTCAGTCTCCATCTCTGCAGCGTCAGCAGAACAGAATGAATGGACAGGAATAGCTCTGTACAGAGCTTCCTGTTCATAAACTGAAACATATTAAACACAGTTTCCTATGCCTGAGCTATGAATGAATGAAAAAAAAAAAGCAAAGAAAAAAAGAAAAAAAAAAACGATCACTGACTATTCATTAAGACACGGAAGGGGCTGGTAAATGACACCTTTACCAGCCTCTTCCCTGCTCTCCATCCTGACAGCATCCCCTGCAGCAAGCAGCTGGAGGTATGAGAGGGGAACCCGGCAGTGCTGTGGCCGAGAGAGGGCCAAGGCAGCAGAACAGGGATAGGGAGGTGGCAGGGTGGCATGTAAAACAACCAATGCCCTCCATTTCCCTCATGCAGCTGCTGAACGTCACGGGAGGGAGAGGAGAAGTGGGCATTCAGCAGCTGCATGGAGGGATCAGTTCCTCTAAGTGCCACTGCCCCTCCTATCCAGGTGTACACACATGGACACGGACCCCCTGGAGCATAGGGCTGGGTCACAATCACGACCCCTGCAACCCCTGTATGTATGCCCCTGATACAGAAGCATTGGCCCTAAGGCTCTATTCACACTAGAACCTTACATAAATACATTCTTTATATATGGCACCTCATATTGGCAAGCAGACATTTTTATGTATGGAAAAACAGGTAACAAATGGAAGTTAAAATTGCACAAAATTCAATGCAACAAAAAGCTACATAAACTACTTTGCTGAGTTCAAAAATTAAATAAAACAATAGTGTAAAAAAGTTTAAGGTTTTTACATACCTATATTGTTTAAAGTGTTTTTTTCCCAGTATTATATTCTATTTGATTTTCCATTGGTCATTTTTTCTACATTTTTTCTTTAAGGATTGGCAGCTTGTCTTGTGTTACCTCTCTCCTCATGTTCCTGACAGTGACATTATTCATAGTGTTCATATGGAAGACCTTTCTACATTTCAGGAAAAATTACTTGATTATTTAAATCAATTAGCCAAATTTACTATAGATATATAGTACTGTTTTAGGCAGGTGGGAAAAATGCTGTAAATTAAGAATGCTTTCAGAAATAGAAGTGTTAATAGTTTACTTTTATTAATTAACAAAATGAAAAGTAAATGAAAAGAGGAGAAATCTAAATCAAATCAATACTTGGTGTGACCACCATTTGCCTTCAAAACAGCATCATTTCTTCTAGGTACACTTGCAAACAGGTTTCGATGGAACTCGGCAGGCAAATATCTTGGAGAACTAACAACAGTTCTTCTATGGATGTAGGCTGCCTCAAATCCTCCTGTCTCTTCCTGTAAGCCCAGACAGACTCCATGATGTTGAGACCAGGGCTCTGTGGGGTCCAAACCATCTCACTTCCAGGACTCCTTGCTCTTCTTTACGCTTACAATAGTTCTTAATGACATTGGTTGTATGTTTAGGGTATAGTTGAGTTGCTTAGCCTTGTTTTTCTTCCATGAAAACCACTTTTGGTCTGTCTTCTCCAGAAAGCAGATGGGTGTACCTGGTTTCTACTGGTTTCTGCCAGTCCTCTGCTGATGGTACTTCATTCTATGCACAAAGGTAAAACATTTTCTCTGTACAGCACCCCCCCAGCCCCCCTAATACTCCCCTAAGCCCCCTTTCAATCCAGCGATGTGCACTGGAGTCTCGGCTATCCTGGGACTCCCTGTTCTCATTGGCTGGGACAGAAGCAAGAGACATTGGCTCACACTGCTGTCAATCACAGCCAGTGAGCCAATGAGAAGAGGGGGCAGGGCCAAGCCGTGGCCCCAAATGTGAATGGATACACAGAGCAGCAGGTGCCCCCATAGCAGGCTGCTTACTGTGGGGACACCAGACAGGAAGGAGGGGCTGGCAGCGCCAGCAGGGGGCCTGAGAAGATCTGGGCTGCTCTGTGCAAAACCACTGCACACAGCAGGTAAGTATAGCCATGTTTGTTATTTATTCTTAAAAAAATAATCCTTTAGAATCACTTAAAAGAAAAAAAAAGCATTTAGTACGAAGCTTTAAAGTGGAACTTCCCCTTTTGGGTGGAGCTTTAATGAATCAAACCACAAACAGTTATCAGAATACTGTATAATGTTGTTTAATCCTGCACTTTGGATTGCTACCATCTATTTGAAAATCCATGAGAGGTCTAATATATATTTGAGCGTGGTTGTTTGTTGTCCGGAGTGCGGCCATTTTATCGGAGACCTAGAGCTCATTGTTACTAAGGCATTAGACGCAGGCAAAATGGCTCCAGTAGTGGAGACTATACATTCATGGAAACAATGGTTATGCGTATGTTTGCGTAAGCTCGCAAGAGGAACGTTATTCGCTACGCTGTGATTGGCCAGATAGAGTTCTGGCGGAAGAAGCCGCAAAGTGCAGGTAGAGGGCGCTGCGTGTGTTGCGTATGCTCGCAAGAGGAACGTATTTCGTTTCGCTGTGATTGGCCGGGTGGAGTTCTGGCGGAAGAAGCCGCGCAGTGCGGGTGGAGGGCGCTGCGGCAGGATGATGGGGTGGCCGGTGCCACCTATGACTTACCTATTACTGGGAGGACAGGGCCTGCTGCTCACCTTCTCCCTCATCGCCTCCCAGAACCAGACCAGCCCTGGCTCCTCTGCAGAGCCCAGCACCACCCCTGTTCCCGAGCACAGAGACCCCGGGGGGCCCCTGGTCCTGTGCGAGTACTTGTGAGTATACTGGGTGACAACGCTGAGCTTCCAATCAGAGTGTGTGTGTCAGAACAGGAAGATGTATCAGTGTGAATGTGCTCCAGTCCCCGTACTGCTCCTGACCTCCTCTCTGTTGCTCTTTGATGGGTCATTGAGGGGTTCACATGGGAGCAGTTTTGGATGGGATGAAGGATGGGGGCTCATTCACACTGGGCTGCACTGCAATGGCATGTTAGGCGAACGCACATTTGTGCCCCATTAACACCTGCATGACATGTTGCGTTTTTTGTTACGGCAAAACTATAGAGCCAACAGTTTGCTCAGCAGTTGCGGCAAAATACACTATATTGCCAGGAGTATTGGTCGGCCTGCCTTTACACGCACATGAACTTTAATGGCCCCCCAGTCTTAGTCCGTAGGGTTCCATATGGAGTTGGCCCACCCTTTGCAGTTATAACAGCTTCATCTCTTCTGGGAAGGCCGTCCACAAGGTTTAGGAGGGTGTCTATGGGAAGGTTTGACCATTCTTCCAGAAGTACATTTGTGAAGTCAGGCACTGATGTTGGATGAGAAGGCCTGGCTCACAGTCTCCACTCTAATTCATCCCAAAGGTGTTCTATCAGGATGAGGTCAGGACTCTGTGTGGGCAGTCAAGTTCCTCCACCCCAAACTGGCTCCTCCATGTCTTTATGGACCTTGCTTTGTGCACTGCTGCGCAAATCATGTTGGAACAGGAGGGGGCCATCCCCAAACTGTTCCCACAAAGTTGGGAGCATGAAATTGTCCAAAATGTCTTGGTGTTCTGACGCCTTAAGAGTTCCCTTCACTGGAACTAAGGGGCCAAGCCCAACCCCTGAGGAACCACACCATAATCCCCCTCCACCAAACTTTACACTCGGCACAATGCAGTCAGGCAAGTACAGTTCTCCTTGCAAAATAATTAAAAACCTCCTGCGCTCAGATGGATAAACTACTCCAAGCTGCCGACACCCTCCTTTATAATAAAAGTACACAAACCTGGCAACCGCCAAACCCAGACATGTCTTTCGGATTGCTAGACAGAGAGGCGTGATTCATCACTCCAGAGAACACGACTCCACTGCTGTAGAGTCCAGTGGCGGCGTGCTTTACACCACGGCATCCAACGCTTTGCATTGCACTTGGTGATATAAGCCTTGGATGCAGCTGCTCGGCCATGGAAACCCATTCCAGGAAGCTCTCTCTGTATGCACTGTTGTTGTGCTAATTTGAAGGCCACATGAAGTTTGGGGGTCTTTAGCTATTGACTCTGCAGACAGTTGGTGACTTCTGCACAGTGTGTGCTTCAGCATGCGCTGACCCTGCTCTGTCATTTTACGTGGCCTACCACTTGGTGGCTGAGTCGCTGTTGTTCCCAGTTGCTTCCACTTTGTTATAACACCACTAACAGATGACTGTGGAATATTTAGTAGCCAGGAAATGTCACAGATGGACTTATTGCCCAGGTGGCAACCTATCACGGGACCACACTTGAATTCACTGAGCTCCTGAGAGCGACCCATTCTTTCACAAATGTTTGTAGAAGCAGTCTGCATGCCTAGGGGCTTGATTGTATACACCTGTGGCCATGAAGGTGATTGGAACACCTGAATCCAATCTTAGATTGTCAGCTCCAAGGATCAGGCCCTCCTTTCCCTCTTGTATTGAACTGTATTGTTGCTGTATTGCCTCCCGTTATATTGTAAAGCGCTGCGCAAACTGTTGGTGCTATATAAATCCTGTATAATAATTTGGAGGGGTGTCCCAATACTTTTGGCAATATAATGTAGTTCAAGTACCCTTTTTTTTTTTTTTTTTTTTTTTTTTTTTTTGACCCGAGCCAAGTGCATTTTCTGTGTTTTTTGTGCAATAAACAGCGGGACTTTTACTCGCATCTGAGGTGCCTTTAAGAAATAATGCAAACATACTGTGAGTTTTGCTGCTTTTTTTTAGTGCATATTTCGGAACAAAAAAGGTTCAAACTTGACATTAAGTGCTCAGAAAATGACACCCATCGCAGAAAACATATGTCTCATAATATTAACACAACCCGGACTGAAAAGAGGTGGCGGTGCAGCCTTCCTCAGATTGGGGAAGTCCAGCACTGTACAAAACATACAAAACAGAGAGGGTGCAAATGCCTAGCACACTACCGCCAATCACTTTATTACAGGATGATGTTAAAGGACAATTGTTATACTCACCAGTCCAGTGAGCTAAAGGCATAAATATGCATAAAGCACACAGTGGAAGACTCCACCTCCAACCAGAGACAGGATAGCAAAAACAACTGACGCATTTCGGGGATCCAATCCCCTTCCTCAGAATTTGGATGATGTCTCCCAAAGCTCAACCTCCTTAAGTAGATAGCATCAATTAAATTATCAACCCACCTACCATCAAGGGGAGAGAAGGAGGGAGTTTATCTGTAAGAGACACCGCCCACTGACTATACTCTATGTACACAAAATTAACAGCATGACGACAGCACTTGATATATAATTAGGGTTGCTACCTCATCCCTTTAAAACCGAACAAATATTAATTTCACAGGTGAGCAGGTGCATTGGGGGGGGGGGGGTGATGATTGGAGAGTTCTGGCTTCAACTCAGCAGGGGGCATGTGAGACCTCTGCAGAGAGACCATTGCATCCACACAATGAGCTAGGGTCCTTCTGTGCAGTATGCTGGCAGGACACAGGCTTTGCTACTCAGGCTGTGGCTGCTCTCTGCAGAATATTAACCAAAAGGGGCTTTTCACATGAGATCCACTTGTCAGTTTTCCATGACGATCCATTTGGAGTCTCCATGTTAATCTATGGACAAGCGGATATTTAAATTCAATTACCTCCTGAGTCTGTCTAAGGTTAGAGAAAAAAAAAACGGACAGGGTTTACGTCCTTTTGTTTTGTTTTTTTGGACCTAAACATGATGGTGGTAAAATGATGTAAACAGACACACATCCATTGACATCTGCCTACCTATAGACCTAACATAGGTCCTTTCATCTCCACTCACAAACTGAAGCTGTTTGCAGATCCCCTTGCTGATTGGAGCCAAGGATGACTGCCTTAAAGGACCCTAAGGCTGGCCATACACATTTTTTGTTTTTTAATATCCTCATTCAGTTAGCAGGCTAAATAAGAAAAAAAAAACAACAAATAGATTCCTCCCTTCCAACCTGGACATTGTTTTCTTAGCGCTGGACCCGGCGATGTCAGAATACAGTGATCAGAGGCTGTGGGTGATTAGCTGCAGCTGCTGATCTGTGGAAAATTTTCTGACATGTCCCTTCAACAGAAGTCAATTAAATAATCAACTTCTGTGGATCGGGGGAGCCCACACACTGATGGAAATGCAACCTGCTGTATGGTGTGTGCAGTACAAATCCATGTCCTGCAGCTCCTTGTGTCTAAAAGTTTTCACCTCTCTTTGTACAAACCTTGATTTTGTTTTGTTTTTTTTTTTTTCCTCTCAGACCAGAAGAGTTCATCCAATGTGAGGATCCGATGGATCATACAGGAAATGTGACCATGCAGCAAGAGGTTGGCTATGGCTGTGCCAAGGTAAATGATAGAGTACCTGCTGGGGTTTATGGATTTGTTTCTGTATGATTTCACATTTTTGTGGCTCATGCATACCTGCGTACTGTAGGCTGCATTCTGATTGGTAATTTGTAGGGATCTGAAAGCAGCAGCATTGTATGCCATTGGCCCATTCTCACAGCTCCATTTCAGTCTGCAGCACTGTGTCCACAGTCCAATATCGACTGTATTTTATGTTGTACGAATGTTGAAGTGATTGTAAAGGCTCAGGGGTTTTTTTTTTTTTTTACCATACATTCTATGCATGAAGGTAACAATTTCTTTGTTCAGCTCCCCCCTAATACTTACCTGAGCCCCATCTCGATCCAGCGATGTGCAAGAGCCTCGGCTGCCCTGGGTCTCTCCCTTCTCATTGGCTGGGATAGCAGTGAAGCCATCGAGGAAAGAATGGGGGGTAGGGCTAAGCCATGGATGTATGTGAATGGTCACACAGAGCAGAGGCTCAGGTGCCCCATAGCAAGCTACTGCCGTTGAGGCACTTGGCAGGAGGGAGTAGCCAGGAGCGCCAGCAGGGGACCCGAGAAGAGGAAGGTCGGGGTTGCTCTGTGCAAAACCCTTACACAGAGCAGGTAAGTATAACATGTTTGTTATTTGTAAAGGAAGATTTCTATTTTTTTTTAAATCCGTTTAACGTTTGTGCAACTATTTTTATTTTTGTACAGCTTCAATTGACCATATGCACCCCATCCGCTGTCAGGGCCATGTAAACAAAGTGTAGTCTGTGACAGGCACAGAATGACCTTGGTCAAAGGCTGAAATCAATCTGCGCATGCGTCAGCACAGCTGACTACAAATTGTTGATATTTATATCTGTTATCTCTCCCTGAATAAATCATTGATGCGGCATAAAATTACATCAGCCTTCAATCATTCGGAGCGAGTGAAGGTGGAGGTCATTCTCCACATGCTCTGACACCACATGAATGATTCATTCAGGGAGCAACAAAAATATCCACAATTTGTAGTCTGCAGTGGTGACGCATGCAAAGAATGTTCTATAGATTTCAACTCGCATAGCTGTAAACGCTTGTAGGTGCGTATGAATTGAAATATAGTACGCACCACTTTTTATGTTGGGTGTGTGTGTCCCCGTCCTAAAGTTGTCCCCACTATTTCCCATGATAATAAAAGAGTAGTGTGAAGCCTGATCTTGCCTGAAGCGGCATGTGAAATATCTAATTTATTATTCATTTGCCCTCCGGAAGATTTACTTTCATGACCAGGCCATTTTTTGCTATTCTGTGCTGCGCTACTTTAACTGACAATTGCACTGTCATGCAACAGTGTTAGTAATTTAATTTATATAATTTTTTTCACACAAGTCCCATAATAAGATATACCTACAGTGGGGATCGAAAGTTTGGGCACCCCAGCTAAAAATATGTATTAATGTGCATAAAGAAGCCAAGGAAAGATGGACAAATCTCCAAAAGGCATCAAATTACAGATTAGACATTCTTATAATATGTCAACAAAAGTTAGATTTTATTTCCATCATTTACACTTTCAAAATAACAGAAAACAAAAAAATGGCGTCTGCAAAAGTTTGGGCACCCTGCAGAGTTAATATCTTGTACTGCCCCCTTTGGCAAGTATCACAGCTTGTAAACGCTTTTTGTAGCCAGCCAAGAGTCTTTCAATTCTTGTTTGAGATATCTTTGCCCATTCTTCCTTACAAAAGTCTTCCAGTTCTTTGAGATTTCTGGGCTGTCTGTCACGCACTGCTCTTTTAAGGTCTATCCATAGATTTTCAATTATGTTGAGGTCAGGAGATTGTGAAGGCCATGGCAAAACCTTCAGTTTACGCCTCTTGATGTAATCCCCCGTGGATTTCGAGGTGTGTTTAGGATCATTATCCATTTGTAGAAGCCATCCTCTCTTTAACTTCAGCTTTTTCACAGATGGCATCAAGTTACCATTCAAAATTTGCTGAAATTTTATTGAATCCATTTTTCCTTCTACTCGTGAGATGTTCCCTGTGCCACTGGCTGCAACACAACCCCAAAGCATGATTGATCCAACCCCATGCTTAACAGTTGGACAGAGGTTCTTTTCATTAAATTCTGTGCCCCTTCTTCTCCAAACGTACCTTTGCTCATTCTGGCCAAAAAGTTCAATTTTAACCTCATCGGTCCACAGAACTTGTTTCCAAAATGCATCAGGCTTGTCTATATGTTCATTTGCAAAGTTCAAACGATGATTTTTGTGGTGAGGACGTAGAAGAGGTTTTCTTCTGATGACTCTTCCATGAAGGCCATATTTGTACAAGTATCTCTTTATAGTGGAATAGTGTACCACAACTCCAGTGTCTGCCAGATCTTTCTGGAGGGATCGTGCAGTCAAACGTGGGTTTTGAATTGTTTTTCTCACAATCCTGCGAGCTGTTCTGTCTGATATTTTTCTTGGTCTTCCAGATCTTGCTTTAACTTCCACTGTTCCTGATGACTGCCATTTCTTAATTACATTCTGAACAGAGGATATTGACATCTGAAAACGCTTTGCTATCTTCTTATAGCCTTCTCCAGCTTTGTGAGCGTCAACTATTTTCAGTTTCAGTTTTCTAGACAACTGCTTAGAAGAACCCATGTTGCTGATTGTTGGGGCAAGGTCAGATGAGTCTGGGCATTTAAAACCTTTGAGATTGACATCACCTGGTCTTCCCAGACAATGACTGAGAACAATCCATGACACTGGCAGGTCTCAGCTTTGCAAAGGGGGCAGTGCATGCTATAAATTCTGCAGGGTGCCCAAAGTTTTGCAGACGCCATTTTTTTGTTTTCTGTTATTTTGAAAGTGTAAATGATGGAAATAAAATCTAACATTTGTTGACATATTATAAGAATGTCTAATCTGTAATTTGATGCCTTTTGGAGATTTTTCCATCTTTCCTTGGCTTCTTTATGCACATTAATACAAATTTTTAGCTGGGGTGCCCAAACTTTCGATCCCCACTGTACCTAATATTTAATATGTGCCACTCCTGTTTCTTCAAAATCTTGCCAGCCAGCCATTGCTTATTTTTAGCATGTGTGCCTCAGATTTCATTCAGGTCAGTGGAAGGGCAATCTTCAGGTGTTGACAGGTCTCCCATTGAAGTGGATGGAATATCTGGTGTACAGGCACAAGAAATAAATGACCATGGGGTAAATATTTTGAAGTAAAGTCTGTACAGTTCTGGGGTAGGCTGACCAGTGCAAATCTCTGAGGACCCCGTGGTTTAAGAGAATATTTCCTTGGGGGCAATGGTCACTGAAAAGGCAGGATGTCTAAATCTTGTATTTTGAATGCTATTTTAGTCTGTTGTTACTTGAGAATAACCTGTTGCTTCTTTTGCAGTTTGGAGGACAGGCCTATGGTGACGTGGAGCATACAAAAGTCATGTGCCATGCGCTAGAGGATATTGAATGCGCTGAGCCTCGCTCTTTTCAGCGTGGGAATAAACCATGTATCAAGTATGTATTCGCAGATCTTTTGTCTATTTAAAAGACCCCATACCAGTGCACTAAGTGAAATTGTTTTATGAACAGGGACATTCATTCATGCATTAACATTTTATTGGCCGAGGCATTTTTGCAAACGCGTTAAAATGCACATTTTAGGCCTGAAGAAGGGGAAAATATCTCGCGGCTTTTGAGTTTATATAATAAGAGAACAAATTTCAAGGAGTGCAAACTGCATTTTTTTTTCTAATTACTCCGCTGCTACATTTATACACTTATCCCAGCGTTTAACTAATGCCTGGAAAGCTTCGGCATAGAAAGATTTTGCCAGTACACCTGAACCATCCTAGGACAGCCTGCTGCAGTTCGTTATCATTGTGTTAACCGCTCCCAAAGAAAGATTAGTCTCTTGTGCAATTTCATGACAGGTTATGCATTGATTTATCCAGGATCAGATGTTCCACATGCTAAATGTTCACAGGAATGACTGCTGTGACCTGGGAACCACCATTGCCAGGATCCTCACTGACAGATTTACGGCCATCTTTTAAATGTTTACACCATTCAAATGTCTTATTGCGGTTGAGTGTCTCATCACCGTGCTGTGCTTGAAGTCTTCTGTAGATATCCGCAGGTTTTTAGGCCTTCGTTCAAGAAACTCCATGATCACACGCTGTTCCATGCACACACTAGCACTGTTGTCTGATATCTTGATTTAATGATCTCTGGACTGGCCCGTGACATGTGCGCCACCTATTAGTAATAAGACGCACTTGCCACTTACTACTACATGTAGTTTTGCCACGCTAGCATCCCTTTTTATACATGTAAAATAAAAGTCCCGGTTTGACTTGAATGCCTTTGCTGTGTCCAGGTTTTACTAGATGCCTGCAACCTGTCTGACTATGTGTGACTACACACGTGTGCAGGGTCATTATATACTCAAGCCAGAGGATAGCTTAGAGCTCACAATGGCAGCCTATGTGGTTCTCCCAGTACTTTTAGATGGTTTAACCACTTCCTGTCCGGCCCATGTACATAAACGGCCGGATGGGAGCAGTGCAGGAGCGGGTTGCCGTTCATAAACAGCGCCCCCATTTACAGCCTGCGCGCACTCCCTGGGAGCACACGGCACCACGATCCGGTGTCCACTGTGTCCTCCGGACACAGCGGAACACCGATCGCTGTACAGGACCTCTGTGCAGGTCCCGATCATGTGATCACTGATTGACCAATCAGAGATTCACATAAATAGTAGTAAACAAGATGTCACTTCTGACATCATTGCTTACTACGTGTGAAAGATCACAAAGGTCACATGGTACAAGCCTATTCACAACAGCCTTGTATCATGTGACAAGCTGTGACCAATCACAGCTCACACAGTATTTCTCAATGGCTGCAAGAATACAGTCAGAGAGGAGAAATGATTGCTTTTACAGCCTTTATGGGTGTAAAAGCTATCAGTGTAAAAAAAAAAAAAAAAATCTTCATCACCCCCCACAGGTAGTACAGTGTCACCATGGTGACACTGTACTACTAGAGTGACAGTATGTTAAAAAAAATATATATATATATATAAAATGTTTTGGTTATAAACTAATTTGGGTTATTTTTTTTGCCTACTAAAACGATAACTGAATAAATTTTGGCCAAGATTTATGAAGAAAGACTATTTTCAAAATGTTTGGACTTTTTCATTTATATAGCAAAAAAAAAAAAAAAAAATCCCAGTGGTGAATAAATACCACCAAAATAAAGTTTTATCTGTCTCAAAAAAAAAAAAAATGCTAAAAAATTCATATGGGTATAGTGTTGCATGACCGCACAATTGTCATTCAAAGTGTGACAGTGCTGAAAGCTGAAAATTGGCCTGGTAAAGAAGGGGGTATAAGTGCCCGGTAGGCAAGTGGTTAATTATGAAAATTGTAATATTTTGTCCACTAGAGGGGGGTGTGTCACACAGCAATGTAGATCAGCTCACAAGTCTATCAGTAAGGATAGTAAATGCACCTATTTGTAGGAAACCTAGAGGGAGATTCACTAAAACTGGTGCAGACAGAATCTGGTGCAACTGTGCATAGTGTAACCAATCAGCTTCCAGGTTTTTTGTCAAAGCTTCATTGAGCCTTGGTCACACTGATGTGTTGTGGAATTCGCAGCAGTTTTAGTGCGAATTCCACACCACATCACAATTGCACCCTGCAAACCGCTGTGTGTGTATGTTAACAACACCTTGACATCAGTCTACAAAACGCGGTGTGATGTGCAGAATCGGATCGCATAGGTGTTAATACCTATGCTATCCGATTTTAGTGCGGACCAAAAAAGGGTGCTGCACGTTGTTGGTATGGTGTAAATAGAGCCATACAAAATGTATGGCTCTAATCGCACCACATACAAATCGCATGTGATTTGTACAGGAATGGGATTTACCGCACCGCTGTAGTGTGAACCTAGGCTTAATAGGCTGAAGTTAGAATCTGATTGGTTACTATGCACAGCTGTACATGATTCTGAGAGCACCAGTTGTAGTTAATCTGTCCCTAAGTATGTGCTGAAATGTGTTGCTTGATGACCCTGTGCTTTTTTGGAAAAAACAGGTCAAAGCAACAGGTCACTAAACTTCCTCTTACATCCCTGTAGCTCATACTTACCTATTCTTCTCCTCCCACTACTCCATTCAGTCGTCAAGAGTGAGAAAAGAAAGCTATGTAATCCTCAAACAGACATAGCAAAATTTATATAGAACGAAGTTCTATTCCCTGTCCCCATGTGACCGCGCTCAACCAGTCACCGTGCACTTGCATTGTCAGGTGGGTGGCACAGAAGCAAGTCACATGCTGTTCCATAACTAGAAGTGTCGGTTTAGTTCCTTTCACTCCCTGCATCTGAAATGAATAATGGGAAGGCTAAAGAAAAGTGAGTAATATGCAGATGTGCGGGGAGGATTTAGAGCAAAACTTTCTTCTTCTTCTTTTTTTTTTTTTTCTGTTTTTTTTTTTTCTTTTTAGTTTTTTATAGAGTGGAGGTGGATAAGAACACCTGTCAGGTTTGTATTGTTGTCTGTACCCCCATTAGGGAGATTCACCCTGTCTAGTTGGGCAGCACAATGCCTAAATGGTTAGCACTTCTTCCTGGGGTCGTTGGTACGAATACCAACCAAGGCACCACCTGCCTGGAGTTTGCATGTTCTCCCTGTGCCTGCGTGGGTTTCCTCTCCCGCTCCAAAGACATGCTGGTAGGTTACTTGGATCCTGCCTAATTTGGCCCTAGTATGTGTATGTATGAATGTGAGTTAGGGACCTTAGAATGTATGCCCGTTGAGGGTTAGGGACTGATGTGAATGCATGATATGTATATATGTAAATCGCTGCGTAAATTGACGGCGCAATACAAGTACCTCTAATAAACAAATAGTTGTCCTGTTTACCATTATCATTGAAAGTAAAAGAAAATCCCAAATTTTGGGTTGTCCCCAGAACAGTGATAGAGGGGACCTCCTGTTTTAGCTATAGGACAGGAAGTGAAGGGAAATCTCCCTAATGGGACACAGATGGCAGCAAAAACATTTGACAGGGGTTATAACCCTCCCTTAAGACAGCCATACGTGGATCGAAATTCAGCTGGTTCAGCAGGGACTGGCAGGGTTTTTTTGGATTGATGTATAGGCACCCTGGTTGTACACAAGTTAATCTATCAATCAACTTCTGTACAGCTGGCCTGTTGGGTTTTTCCTGAACGATTCGTGCAGCCGGCAACAATAATCGTGTTTTACAGGCAGGGAAGACTCCCTGCCAGCAGAATACAATAGCACTGTGTGAGAGATTCCCCCATCAACACTGACTAGGGTTTATTTGCTAAAGCTGGAGAGTACAAACTCAGCCTCACTTCTGCATAGAAACCAATCAGCTTCTAACCTCAGCTTGTTCAATTAAGTTTTGGCAATAAAACCTGGAAGCTGATTGGTTCTACGCAGAAGCGAGTCTTTTTTAGCACTCTCCAGCTTTAGTAAATAAACCCCACTATGTTGATCGGGAATCGAGCAAATTTTCTTTACTTTCAGCCATGGTGGATGAAAAGAAAATTCCATAATCTATGGCTTTCTTTACTCTATCGAAAATGCAAAAAAAAAAAAAAAAAAGTTTTGCCTGTAGTTCTACTTTTGCTTTGCCCTGTGTGCGGGTGATTTTAAAACCACTAAATCTGCAGATGAAATAAATGTAAGGAGGTTTTTTTTATTTGTCAAAATATTTGCATTTCTGTCCATCCAGTTCATAGTTTTACACTGGCCTGGAGGAAGAGACTTGATTTCTATTTTGCGGGTAGGTAACAATTACAGGTTTTGTCAGGCCCCCAGTTTGTGATGGAGGATCAGTAAACTGATGAACTCCTCTCTGTCACTCTGCTGTCTCCTCCTATCAACATGTTCCTTGTTAACAAATGAGCACAGCAGGACAACCGATTGCCTGCTTGCACTGCAGTGCTTTTTCCATATCTCAGTCTGAGCTCTGCAGCACAGCAAGAGACTGATATCAAGTCAAATACAAATACTTACTCTGCTTGCATTAAAGAAAATACATTTCATGATGCAATAATTTGTGTCTATTATATCTGCATTGAGTTCAACTTTGTTTCTACAAATGTAAAGTAGACAAGAAGAAGGTGTACTATGATGTCATAGTTCTCAACCCTTTGATTTGTGTCTGCACAGGTATACAGGCCACTATTTCATCACCACATTGCTGTACTCCTTCTTCTTGGGCTGCTTTGGAGTAGATCGCTTCTGCCTGGGACACACGGGCACCGCTGTGGGAAAGCTGCTCACTCTGGGAGGTCTGGGCATCTGGTGGTTTGTGGATCTTATATTGCTCATCACAGGGGGGCTCATGCCTAGTGACAACAGCAACTGGTGTACAATATACTGATGCAGACTATCCTTGGGGACACTGCAATCTGTATCAGACTTCCACCCACAGACTCTATTCTGCGAAGACTGTCACAATATTTCATGTGGTAGCACCATGGCAGAAAGACAAAACATTGAATGGTTAGTTTACACAGCTGTGCTGATATGTAAGATACAATTCTGTAAATACGTTATATATACAATATAACAATGTTTAATCCTAAACTGTAATAAATGTAATTAAGATGATAATACTTGCAGTATGTGCCCATTCATTACCCCACAACACTGTAGGTATAAAAGGGTGTTCATGCAAGGTGTGGTATTTATCAGCGATTGATTCTGAGACCACATAGAGAGTAAGTTATTTAGATTCAGGGTTTTTACAACCAGCAGCCATGCAAAACTGAAATATGGGTCTCCTTTTAATGCGTGTATGAGAACAAGCCCAGTCAAGTGTTTGAAAGTGCTTTAAAAAAAAAAAAAAAAACACATTGAGATTTGATAAGTAGATGTTGCTCCTGAGTCAAATTTGGTGTTTTAGAATACTGCACACTTAGGGATTGAGGAGGTTGAAAGGATTGTTTCTGCCAAACCCTCCACTGGCTTCCAGTTGCCCACCGGATAAAATTCCAAATGGTAACACTGACGTATAAAGCCGTTCATAATACTGCCCCCAAACTACATCACCGATCTTGTCTCCAAATATCACCCAAACCGTACTCTCCGCTCCTCACAAGACCTCCTACTCTCTAGCTCCCTTGTCTCCTCCTCCCATGCTCGTCTCCAGGACTTCTCCAGGGCTTCCCCCATCCTCTGGAACTCCTTACCCCAATCCATCAGACTATCACCTACTCTGCTCACCTTTTAGGTGCACTCTGAAAACCTATCTCTTCAGGGAAGCCTACCCCACCCTCAGCTAATACTGAACTCCTCTACTCTTCCAACCACTCCATCCCCCACAGCTATTTCCTCCTGTACCACTATCCCCTCCCTCCTAGATTGTAAGCTCCAAGGAGCAGGACCCTCGAACTCCTCTTGTATTGAATTGTATTGTTACTGTACTGTCTTGTGTACTGTCTCCCACCATAAAGTGCTGAGCAAACTGTTGGCGCTATATAAATCCTGTATAATAATAATAAAAATGGGCTGCCATTATGAAATGCTTTAAAGAAGAATTGCCTGCCTGATGAAAGAGCGCGCCTGGACTCATCTCGTCCTGCACATGCTCATAAACGCATCGCGTTTTGATGAGGTCAGACACCACATATGCTGATCCCGGACATCTTGGAGACTCTGCCAGGCTCCACCATCCGTGCTGCATATGCACAGCACCATCTGCTGACAGACACCTTGGAGATTCCACCAGGCTTACCATCCATGTTGCACATGCACAGCACCACCTGCTGACAGACTCAATCAATCTCCTCTCTGGATCAGTCACACAACTACATCTGGCTACAGATGTCTCACCCTCTTACCCATGAGCCTGTTTTTAAATTCTAAGATGTGAGTTACTACTTATCTTTCTATTAAATGCCTTCACAGTACACACATAGAGGTGCTGTGTTTCCTTTTTTTTTTTTCCAGTTATCGACCTATGTAGCTATGTATGAATCATACCTGACTGATGCCCCTGGGAGCTGGAAATCTTGGAAGTAGACACAACTACTCTCTACTTGCTTCTGGGTCCTATGCTGAGCAGCTGGCCTGCTGCATTCTGGACACACAAGGTCAGACGCACAGCACGGGTGCCATACAAATCAGGCTTTGCATTTTGCAAAGCCTTCTCTGATTGGGCAAGGTGGAGAGGCATGGTAGTGACACCTTGTCCAATCAGAGTGCTCTTTGTAATTCTTGAGAAGATGCAAAGCGATCTCTATATGGCACCCGTGCCAAGTGCCCAACCTCCTGTGGGCACAGGACCCAGAAGATAGTGGATATCACTAGAGTAGCGGTGATTTCCAGCTTCCAGGAGCATCGGCCATGTATGATTTATGCAAAGTTACAACGGTCCAGCTTGGACCAATGTAATTATGTATTAAATATCCATATCTGGATAGCCATTCAACTAGTACTAAAACTCTTATGAAAGGAAAATAGAAACTCCTGGTTTGCATTGCCTGGACTTTCCAAGGCCATTAAGTGTTTGTAGTCTGTTTCCCATTATTGCTGCATGCATGAGGGGGGTGGAGGGGACAGGCTGTAAACAATGGGCAGAGATGGCCTGGTCAATACGAATCAAATTTTTTTTCAACTTGGAGGTTTGCTGTGCTAATAAACGCTATTATGGCTGCTAAAACTGTTTTTTTTGTTTTTTGAGGCAGGTGTATTGTTTTCTATGGATTTATGCACACCGCTGCTTAAAGATTGGTAAACTGTATTCAGATCCATAACATCAAATTAAAAGAATTTGTGTCCATGGGTGGTATTAAATGCAGTACACATGTAAATACTTGCACTCTGTTGGCATGCCCATGGCTGACAAGTATACATTAACATTGTGTAATCTGCTTAAATTTACATCTAGGCCCTGAATGGCCCTTGTGTCCTAGCACCAAAAGTGCGAATGCAAATCTTAGCATAAACTTTACATGTGTACAGACATGATTTTACATAGGATCTTGCGTTTAAACCATATCTCCTAGATTGTAAGCTCCAAGGACCAGGGCCCTCCTATCCCTCTTGTATTGAACTGTATTGTCTCCCGTTATATTGTAAAGCGCTGAGCAAACTGTTGGCGCTATATAAATCCTGTATAATAATAATATGGCTGTGTGAATGAGCCCTTGAAGAAAACCTGATGTGAGAGAATGTGGGAGGCTGCGATTGCAGACCTCTTTCTGAAAAGGGTAGTTGCCTGGCTGTTATGCTGATCTTTAATACTTGATGCTGAACTGAGACAAGTCTGGTAATAAGGACTTCTTTTTTTTTTTTTTTTTTTAATACAATTCACCCTGGTCAAGAGGTCTCTCGCAGGTGCAAAAACCCATTATCAAAAAGAGATATATCAACTATGCCATCAATACTATATATCTGTCAGAGGTTAGAAAATCAAGCCACAGGGCCCAACATTTATAAAACTTTCCATAAGTATGTGTGCATTGATGTCTCCACTCCTCCGCCTCCATAATGTCCTGTACTTTCTGCAGCCACTCCTTGACTGAAGGCAACACAGGAGATTTATGGGGATAAGACATTTAGTGGCATTGAGGAGGTGTGGCATCAAGGAGCATTTGTATGTCCCAACTGATTGCTTTGTGTCATGAAATAGAATAGGTAAAGGATCATCTGCCAGCTGGAATTATCTCATGAATGATTGTTCGAATATCAGACCAAAAGGTGCGTATAACTGGGCAATTCCACCACAGATGAAGGAAAGTGCCTCTCTGCCCGCATCCTCTGCAGCAGTAACCGGACACACTCAGGAAAATGTGGGATAACCTATCGGGTACCCTATACCATCTGGATAGAAATTTATAACATGTTTCCTGTGTTTTAGCATGAACCGATGAAGTGTGGGCCAGGGATATTATTTTATCTACACTACAGTTCGTCAGATCTCTGCACAGTTCCCTCTCCTACTCTCGGATATAGTAAGGAGTCGTGTTGGTCGATTGTCCCACCAGTAATATATATAACTTAGAGAGCAGATAAGTCGCAAACATATAGACTTGAACTTAGATAGTCGGGGGATCGAACAGTCCTTTGTATAGTTTCAAAGAATGCATGAAGCTGCCTGTGTTTCTAGCTATCCCAAGGTGTAGTGCCCCATTCCTTGTGAAAATCCATTAAGGATCGTAAATGTGTGTCAGACACATACTGAAAACTATGAATTTCATGAGAACCCCCACAGTGTTTAAAGAAGGCAAAATCCTCACCTGGGACAAACCACGGGTCCCCTCCAAGAGGGGAAAGGGGTGAAGGGTATGGTGCCAAGGAGAATTGTTTATTTAAACCATCCCATAGGGCCAGAGTTGCAGAAGAGAGAGGTGAGATCCCATCTGAAAGACCCCTAAATGTTGTAGGAAGCCAGGGAGCGTGTGCCAGGTTCCTTCCTGCCATTGGTTTTTCCAGTGGAATCCATAATTTATCTGCGGTATGCAAATTCCAATTTGCAATATGGAGTAAGGCAGTAGTGCGATAATACAATGAGAGGTCAGGAAGGCCCAGGCCTCCCCTAGCCTTTGTACAACGCATAAGGTCATATGAGAGGTGCGATGGTTTCCCGTACCACACAAACTTAAAGCGGAGTTTTACTCACTCTGTAAAAAAATAAAAGCAGTTACAAAAACTGTAGCTGCTGAATTTTAAAAAACAGCCACTCCCCTGTCCCACGGTGCCCCTGCCGCAGCCCGTTTCACCGGCCATCCTGTATCCCAGGCGCCGACATCTTCAGTGTAGGCACCTGGCTGTGACAGCTTGCAGCTTCACAGCCAGATGTCCACTGCGCATGCGTGAGTAGCGCTGCGCTTCCTGAATGGCCCCGTTGTCTTCTGGAACCTGTCACGTGTCCCACAAGACTTCAAGGAGGGAAGGGAAGGACAACTTCCATTTCTGATCACCTAGGCGATCGCAGCGGAAGTGGGAGCGGGTGCCTGTCAAATTCGGGTACCCGTTCAACCCCTTCCTCCCCAAAGGTGCCAATCCTTAATGGGAAGCGGGGGACCAATCTTTAAAGTGGAACTTCCCCTTTTGGGTGGAACTCCGTTTTTAATAAATTCCTGGTGAGTTTTAAGGAAAAAGTCCTAGGCAAACGTATAGGGACCATCTGGAAAAAAAAATAAGAATTTGGGGAGGATCATCATCTTAAGTATGCTTATCCTACTGAACCAGGTGGTTTGTACCTTCTCCCAGGACTGCAATTCTTCCAGGACAGAGCGTAAGAGTAGGGCAAAATTGGCCTTCTAGAGATCCTTCAGGTCTGCAGGCAGTTTTATACCCAGATAAGTGAGGGGAGAATCTTGCCGTCGGAAGGGAAATGAATGTTCAAGTGTGCGTCCATCCGCCTTCAAAATA